CCCCAAAACCCCAAAACCCCAAAACCCCAAAACCCCAAAACCCCGACAGACAGCCCTCGGATTGATAAATATTAAATTTAATTATGCACAACGGTCATGATATGTTTGTAAATGAAGATGGGGATGTCAGTTTTGACTCTGATATTATCCCCAATTTTAAGGGTCAGAATGCCTTCTCCTTCTCACATCCTCTCTCGAGAGACTCTTCCAGTGAGAAATCTAACTCTGATCTGAATGGATATTGTAAACCAGAGCCGTATTCTTCGGAAGTGAGTTGAGATACCAGCAACAGCATCCGAGAAAAGATAAGGATATTGCAAAGAAATAGCCGCTCTGAGAGCACTGATGGAGTTGACCACTCGAAAGTGCTGATTTCGAGCCTTAATTCTAGCTTCTCTAATTTCCAAAACACTGTTCCCTTAGGAGAATCTAGGGAGCAAGAAGGAGTAGAACTTTCTCAAGAGGAAAAGTCCCAAAATATCTCAGAGTCTGTGAGAATTTCAAACAACACTACAAGGGAGATTAAGTTTAATATGGCCTGCACTTGTTGTGAAAAGTGCCTCTCAGAAAAAGAGAAATATAATTTAAGACATCGAGAAACTTCTAAGGCACAAAACCAGAGATTACCAAGTAAGACTCCAATGAAAAATAAGGGAAAGATGAAGATAAACCTGTCAAAATATCTTAAGACCAGTGATATTTAAGCAGAAGACCAAGAAGGTAAACTCAAAAAGCTATAGCATGAGTATTCCTAAATATGGGCCCCATTGCACTCCTCAAAATAACTCTGGGTTTCAATTTTCTGTAGATAATGGCTCTAATAAAAAGTATCGTTATGAACCAACTATTACAAAGCAGAATAGTTTTGCATGCGAAACTTATAGAGAAGGGCCTAAACCTTCTCGCCTTGGCAATATGAGGGCTCAAAGGGTCCCAATGTCGCCATATTCAGGAATCAGCAACCTTCAAGAGCAAATGAGACAGAAATAAAATTATCAATATGATAATCAACAACAGCGAAAGTCCTTGGACAACCACCCCTAGTACCAAATCTGCGAAGAAAAGGAATTATAGTACATTTGATGGGAGGCAACTTCAGCCTACTATATTTCACCAGAGCCCTTGTAGTTAATAGTTTTTATTCTGATAATTTTCAATACCTAATCCTCACCACGGGGTTTTGGGGTTTTGGGGTTTTGGGGTTTTGGGGTTTTGGGGTTTTGGGG